CATCTCATTTCTCTCTTTGCTAAAGAATGGCATTGCTGTGGCAAGTTCTTGGGCAGGTGGCCCCGGGGCAATGTGGCCAGGAAGGATGGAAGTCTCCCACACTGCTCTCAGTGCAGACCCCTGAACCCTGTGAGAAATCAGGGGTGTCTTTCATCTGCAGCTGTTGAGAGGCCATAAATTAGCTGTCCTCAACACCAAAGTCTCCTAAAAAGTCTGAAGTGCTAGACGAATGCTCAGAAACCTGTGTCCTGTATAATTGCCTACAAGGTAGAGAACTCACCCAGGAAAACGTAGACTTGGGTTTGACTCATCATCAATTTGAGATTTAAACTGACAACTCCTGCCTTTCAGGGAAGTACTTCAGCAACAGGCACAGCACACGAGTTTGCACTCACAGCTGCAAGATGGTGCTGTCTCTGCAGAAAATGTGGGGCACGCTCTCATGTGGACTGCTCTGGCTGGAGGGCCCTGAACTTGTGAAGAAATGAGTGTAGAGATGGGGTGCGAGAGAGGTCCTCCAGGAAGCACGGACAAGGTAGCTGCCTGCCCTACCCACATCCAGCCAGGTGTGTTAGGTGTTGAAGAAGACTATCAAGAGCTGTGATAAAATAAATGAAAAGCAGGGAGGAAGAAAAGACCGTTTTAATTTAGAAGGTCAAGTCTGTCAAGGTGAATGCTGCCAAACTGCAGCTTAATTATTAACTAGCCCTGATTTCTGTTTGTATCAGCATCAGTACCTACCTTTCGATGCAGATTGCACCCTGGACTTTCAGCTGTCAACCCCAATTAAGCCTGATAAGGTCTAGATATGCCAGGCAGGAAAGGGAGCTTGCCTGGGCCTTCTGGGCTATCTTCACCTCCTCCCTGGGAAGGGGAAGGTGGGGAAGGAGGAGTCCCTGACACCCTTCCAGCGCTGGAATGTAGGCATGCACTAGCATCGAGTGCTAACAATGCACCTATACCACAGCAGCACTCAGTTTGCTAAGGTTAGGCAAGCAGAGCCTGCTGTGCCACATACTGCATAAATATATTCTGCTTCTCATCCCAGGTTGGTTGCAGATCAGAGAGGAGATGTTACAAGTAGGGGAGATGAACAGGTCTGATAAGATCAAAGGTTGAATAGGAGAAATGAGAAAAACATTGAACTTTACCCAGCGTGTAGCAATGGCCACAGCTCACACACGCTAGGTGCCAGACCCAACACTTCCCTGCAGGAAGTGACAAGAAGGTTTTGACTAAATCACTCTGTGTTCTGATTCTGAGTTATTTTGTCCCATTCAGAGTTAATTCAGACCCTTGAAAGGTAGGACAGGCAAAGGGGGGGTCAGCAGCTCCTAGTCATTGCCCTGCCACTGACATGCTCTGCAACCTTGGTCATGTCTCTTTCTTGCTCATTCCTCAGCTCATTCATCCACATAATGAGAATGACTTTTACTCCTACAGGGGCATCCTGAGACTTAATTTGCTGCTATTTGGAAAGTCCTTTCAGATCTACATGTGACAGGCAGTTTCTTGGGATCAAACTACTGTAAGAAGGTCCTTTCTTGGTATTTCTTTCAGAAGGGAAGGGAAAACAGAGCAGAGTTCACACATAATGTATTGCTCCTGGAAGGTACTGCATGAATGCTTGCTAGCTCAAAAGCCTTCAGATCAGGTGAAACCAAAAGAGAACTGGACGTTGCCTGTGGCCCCCCAGACACATCATAAGTCAAAGTTAGATAAAGCTCATTTCTGTGCGGATAATCTGGCCACCATACCTTTTGTGCAGAAGCAGGCAACAGGAAGGCCCCCATAATACTGCCAGAGAGGTAGATACCTATCACCTAGGAAATGCTGCAAGATTACCAAACAGCCACAGACCAGTTTGTATTCTCTGTCACTTGCTGCATAAATTGGATTAAAACCAGCAACGTATTCATGAAAGTCTGCTACAGAGGCCATTTCCTACCCCCTGAGCTATCCATTTCTAGAGTGGGCATGTATCTGCATGAAGGTCACCCCTTCTGGGGACTGCGCTGCTAGGAAGAAATTAAAACGACAATTAAAATGGGATTTTTGCTGCAACTCAATAAAATATAATCCCAGCTAAACAAAGTAAACATTGAGCATGAATGAGTTCCTCTCTCCAGAGTGCTGTCAATCCATCAGTCACAACTAGAGAAGACTGCTGGCTAAAAGACACTCTGGCTTTTGAGGTTAGCATATTGATATGCCCTTTAATGAAACACATGCACACCCACAAGCACCAAGAATGTGTGCTGCTTTCTAAAAAGGGAGGAATCTGCTTACTTAGCCCTGAAAGCTATTTCTGAGGTGTGATACATCCAGTATACATGCCCCAGTGTCCTTAACGCCAACAGGGAAACTCTACACATTCACGAGAGGAAGGCTAATGTACGGCTAAAATACAGGCTTGGGACTTGTGGATAATTTCATGCCTGACTTTGCCTCAAGATTATTGTTGACACAACCGTCCCCAACAGGGCAGGTAATTGGCATTTTTGCTCCAAAGAAAGGGCCACTTGGACAAGAAGTGGGTTTTAGCTTGGGCCTATCTATATGCCTGTAGTCAGGGTGCAACAGCTCCTGTGAAGAGGACGGTTTAGCTACATGACCTGGGACTGTGCTGCGGCTGGCCACAGGTTGCTGAGGTGCTGGACTTGGGGGAAACACCGCAGGGCTGTGCTCTGCATCGGAGCAGGGCAGAATTCTGGGTTGTAAGGGCTGCTGGCTCCTAGGGACTACGTGACAGATGTGAAATGCATGTGCACATGTGTGTGTGAACATGCACGCATGTGCCACTGTCTGAAACGCTAGAGAAATCAGAGACCTCCAGAAAGACTCCAAAGGTGGCCTGGGACAGAGCAAAGGTGTCACTCTGGTGCGGAGCCAGGTCCGAGAGAGGCAGCCCAAGAGAAACGGGGCATTCCCTGGGAAAAGGTTTTGTGAGGCGCTCCTGGGAGGGAGGGATGAAGAAAGGGACTGACAGATACCACTGAAATGTTCAATAATGCAGTTTTTACAAAGATTCCTGCTTTTCTGTGTAATCTAAATCTAACATGACACAGACTAAATGAGAACATCACTTCTATCTCCACTTATTAGCCATGATTGCTGCCGAGTGACACTCCAGCATGTGTTTCCGTGGTGGGATAGCTTGCGTGGCCTTGCTAGCGTTCACGCTGGCTGCTAGCTTTAATGGTGCGCTTAGTCTGAGTGCTGTGAGCCTAAAACACAGGCCAAGCACATGCCATTGCCCGGGTAGGGCACCCCAACCAGCCTATCAAAGGGGGTGGCAGGAGGGGGCTCTCACCCCAGGCACCTTCCCTCTTCCTCACAGGCAGAGATGCGGCCCTTTCTTTATTAACTGAAAAGGGACTTTCTATAGCTGGTCACCACGTTATCCAATAATACCTGCCGGAAACAATCAGTTTGGATCACAACAGAGAGTGAAAATTATATTATTCTAATACAAATTATTTGGTTCCTGAGGTTCTGATCGAATTAGGCAGCTACTGAATTAAAGCAATGAAATTACTGTGAAGAAGGCTGTGCTCAACTTAATTTCAGTCCTCCTGGACCTGAAGAAGTAACAAAGGAAAATGTCTAAAGTGGTCTAAGGAGTTTTCCATAAATACCCTACACTGATATCTGGGGAACCTGGGACTTCTGCCTGCCATTAGCAATTTCCTAATTAGCCCAATATACTATAGGCTCAAGCCATCGTCTGGACAGCAGATTTGGCATACTCCTAAAAGCAGCAGAAACTGAAGCATGCACAGTAGAGTTCCTTTGATTTGCAGCACAGCTCAGACATATGAATATATATGACCAGTGCCTTAATTTCATGTAGAGCACAGACTTTGGCAATAAATTTTGTGGCTTATGGAGACCCAAAGGGTTAGAGGGCTCCTGTAAGAGGGCTTCTGAAGCTGGAGCTCAGCCTGCAAGTAGCACCGCTGCCTCATCATTGAAGCCCAGTGCAGGACCCATAACTTCTAAATTTGGGTTTTTATTTTTCAACTCTATTTACAAAACTGCCAGATTCAAGCTCCTCTCTGTGCCCTGCATGCTGGGCCTTACCTTTTGACAAATGTTTCTTTAGTGCAAATTCAACTATAATCATATGTGGAACTGGAGGAATAAGAAAAATACAGGAGGCATAAATCATACTGCAATGTGATCAAGAAAGACCAGAATAATGGGGATTTCAGGCAATGAAGGAGGATTCAGTATTAATAAATGTAACACCCTGCCACAGGGAAAGGAATTGAAGAGTGCTGAGCTAGTGCTGAGGGTGATCCTCATAATACCGCCCTCACTCTGGGCACATTGCTGTGTGCCCTTGTCCCTCAAATGGAAGGGGTGTGAAGAATATTAAAGTGCGTGGCTGGATGAGCTATGCCTAGGGGCGAGACTGCTACCAGAGTCCTAAATGGGAACAGGCAGGCCTGGCTCTGTATCATGTACAGCGCTGTCACGAACACCTTGCCCCACCTGGATGGTCAGGAAAACTGCTACTCTCACCTGAGGCAGGTAGCATCACATCCATGCCCCAGGAGGTGCTCTTGGACTGCCACCACCCCGGTTCCAGCACCATCCCCCTGGGGTGACAGGTACTACAATCTCCTGTAAAGTCTATAGTAAACCTCTGCAGCTCCCATATGCTTCAGGACAACCAAAGCACCAGACCTGCCCAAAGAGAGCGAGTAACGAGATTACCCCAAATTAGCCTGAACTACATGCTCTGCTTTGTAATCCTGGTTAGGTTATTTCCCAAAACTGTGGCAAAATTCTAGAATTTGAGGAAGGCTTTTACATATCAATCACTTTGATGTTCTTAATACCTCACTCTTAAATAGTTCCTGATAGACATTAGTACCTTGAGCTGGGATTGTCCCTCACTACTGCAACAGAGCAAATACAAACATAGAGAGCTGACTGAAGAGGATGAAAATAGAGTCACAGGAGGCAGAGGAAAGGAGGAAAAGCAGTCTTACCTTGAGTGAGCAGTAGAGCTGTGGGGAAAGAAGAACAAAAGAAAGACAGGCAGAAAGAAGAAAACAGGGAAAAAGTTAATATCCCATTGGAAAGAGCTGTAAAAGCTGTTCTGCAGATGGCAACTTTCAATGAGCAATGAATGTGGCTTAATGCAGTGTGCGAGCTCTCTATAGCTGCATGCTAGGTGCAGGTTGGGGAGCAGGCCCAGTAGCAGCAAGATGGAAATGAGGCTGGAGAGAATAGGTGAGCGCTGGGGCTCTGGGACCCAAAAGTATCCCCCTGCCCCCATGAGCAAAGGCAGAGGAATGGTATGTGGGAGGAGAGTAGCAGGGAGGGGAAGGGAAAAGTGTGGGGGGACAGCCACACTTGCCATCAGGGCCTGACATGACCCAACCTGACCCAAAGGCATTGGAGGTGTCCCTGCCTGTTTCAGATAAGAGTTCGTGGTTGTGGAGGGAAGGCTTGGCAAAATTGGGGCAGGGGGGCGTCTTGGTAAACCGATGTAGCGTTGCTAGTCACTCGTGTGGCCAAGAAGAAAGAGGAAGGCCAAGGATGATGGGGAGCTGCTCAAGAGCCTCATCAGGGGAGGTGTTTATAAAGTGGGTGCTGGCCTCAGGACCAGCGTGAAATGGAGCAGGGAGTAATGCTGCCATGCACCACCCCCAAGGCTCCCCAGGGACATCTTGACTCGCCTGGGTCTACCCTGCACCCCACAGTATCGTTCACAGAGATTCAGGGTGCCAAGGTGACATACATGCAAGCATAAAGCATCACCGCTTTAAGTCTTCACAGGTGTCTTTGCTCCCAGTTGCATGTCTGCCTGACAATATTGCATGGGCATGTGCTGTGCAATGTCATGACAACAGAATGCAACTGCATCTACCCAGTAAAAAAAACTGCATGGTCCTGTGAGATTAGAACATGAGTTGGGATGGAGGGAGGAGAAGGGGGAGAAGATCCTTGTAAGGAACAACCTTACTCTGACTTTCCATAAAGGCATAGCACAGTTCTCTGGCTGGCTTGGACAGTGGTTTCATGACTCTCTTCTGCCTTGATTTCCCCACTCCCCCAAAACATCACACAGAAACATTCTGCTGGATTCCTCTTAGGTGATATCCCTAGAAAGCCACGGCCTACATCCAAGTTTCAAACTAACCATAATAGGGTCTGCATAAGGTATCACACAGCAAAAAATATCAAACCTTCTTTGAGAGGGACTAAGCACCAGTTCTATGCCTTAGCTTTGACTTCTACCTGTCCTTCAAACAGCAAACTGGTCTCTCAAGACTTGTTTGTGGGCTATGATGGTATTGTAATTACTAACGCTTATTATCACGCACTTTTAGTCTCAGAAGCACAAAACTCTGTACAAAGACTGAGTCAGTATTAACATCCCCATTTGACAGATGGTGAAACAAGCAAAGATAGGCTAAAGGGAACGTTTTGCAAACTCAGAAGTGGGCTGGATTCCAAAAGTGCTAATTTACCAAGGCTTGCCGGTTCAGGCCTCTGAAAATCAGGCATTTTTACAGAGGTACCTAATTTTATCTATTCTACTTTGAAAGTGATTTCCTAAGCAATTCGTCAAAGGTCACACAGCACATTAGTGGCAGAGCCAAGAAAAGTAATCCTGAGTCCTGGCTCACGGTCTCTTCTGCGCTCTGTTAGTCATGGGCATACCTTTTCACTCAGACTGTGAAGAGGCATCAGATCAGTCAAGATCAGCCACACGATTTGGCACTATGAAGAAAACGCCAGTGGCCCTGCACATCGCCCCGAGACATTGTGGAACCTGGCAGCAGTTCAGTGTTCTTCTGTGTCTATATATATTAACGTGCATGTATATTTGGCAAGAGGAGGGCTACAAACAGGCAACAAGCCTCTAAATTCACTGCATCTCTATTAGCAACTAGGAACTATCTTAATCAATCTAACGATCACCTCAACTGAAAATACTGAGGGCACTCAGGGGAACATACTCTTGTCCATGTGCGCAAGTACTGGGTATAGCAAAAAGATTGAAGGGAAGGGAAGATGAAGAGGCCACTTGCTGAGCATCTCTAATGTTTCAGTCAGTCCTTTTGAGAGTCCCAAAAATTTTGGGAATACAGACATGAATCAATTCTGCAGCAAATAGCACGGTCACAGAGCCAGGAGAAGTAACGGGGTATTTGCTCTGCCTACACAACCTCCTGCCCTCATGCAGCTTTGCCAGTAAGATTCAAATCTGCCACCGCTCCTTGTAGAGCTAATCCTGACTCTACTTGTAGCTCTGTCCTATCACATCTCTACGTCTCTTTGTAGTCTCCTTGCTCTCCCATGGTCTTCTGGTCCTCCAGACAATGTGGGAAAATTTAATTTGCATTTTTGCAATTACAGTCATTAGTAAACGTGTCGATTTGCTGTTCAAATTTAATATAATGAAATATTGCAGGACCCCTAAGCTACAGTGGTTATGAAAAAAAAAGAAATCACTCATTCCTCATGTATTTTAAAACTGTTATTCTAGAGCTCTGGGATTGGAGTTTATTTTTTTTTCCCATTTCCTTTTAAGCCTGCAAAAGAAGTATTTTTCTCCCTTTCACTTATGATATGATACATGAATATTTGAAGAAACCTATAAAGTTATGAATGAAACATCAAGAATATGGCATGCAGAAAGCCAAGGGATTATTTTATCTTTATATTTCTGAGTGAATGCTGTGCATGCAAGCACGAAAATGATTTCACGGACTAAAGCTTCCTTCCTGCACATGCGTCCACTAATATGCCCTTAGCCCTGACCTGGAATGTTTCCTGACAATCCATCTGGGGATGCTGTACCTGTACCAGCCCTCCCATGACAGTCCCTGTGCTGTTCCCATCCTGAAAGCTTCTCTCTCCTGCCCTCAGTCCAGGCTCCCTCACTCTGTCCCCAAGGTACGTCCTCTCCTCCATCAGTTCACCTCAGCTCTGTAGCATGGCCTCATTGCTATTGGCATCTCCAGTACTCTTACAGGCTTGACAAGCATATTGTTACAGGAAGTTGCTAAAATTAGTTCAGTATTCAAATCCAAAATAGCAATCCCATGTATCCCTTACCTAAACCTTGCACAGTGTGAGCGCAGAAAAATACATGTACCTGCAGACAAGGCCAGTGACACTAACTCTGCTTTTCGCTCACTTCTCAGGAGACGTGATGCTTTGTCTTCAACACAAAAAGAAGGCAGTGGGCATTTTAAATGCTAAAAGGAGGAAGCACGTAGGAGCGATACACAGAAAAAAAAAAACATGCAAGCTCAGTGTGACTTCCAGTGTTGTAGCAAGTACCAAAAGGATGGATGTAACACATAAAGGTTTCCTATCTAAGCCTGGCCTCTGCACGTTAATTAAGCCATTGCCTGGCAAGAACTAGTCTATCAGCTTGAAACGTTGAACATGTTCACAGGCAAAATGCCAAATGCTGCCTCACTCATTCTTGATTAACATAGAAGGAAGTAGGAGCTGGTCATTGAAGACCGGGAACTCCAGAGGCACGAAGGGGTCTGCATAGGGCAGACAAAGGCATCATCGCAACAGCTGCAGGGATGCTTCCCTCATACACGTGCCTGGGTGCCCTGGCTCAGCGCCGGGGGAAGAGGTGACGTCTGGTTGGACCCCCAGCAGCAGAAGGAGAAGTTGCTGGAGCACAGCCGTGTGGCTCGGAAAGGCTACGCTAGGAGAAAATAGTGCTTCACATGTAGGCGCTTCCCAGATGCAGCTTGGCTTTCCCCTTTATGCAAGTTGCCTTCCTTGTGCTGCTCTGTGATACTGTATTTGGCTGTGTCCCAGCTTAAGGGCTGAATCCCAGTTCCTCCTTTATTGCTATTTCTCTGCCCTGCAGGCCTGTTTTTTAACTAGGCAAAGTTAAAATTGTATGTATGAACTCTGCTTCCCTGCCATCCCTGAAACCCAACAATTTAGACCTCAATTTAGCTGCTAAAAAGTCAATGACTACTAAACGATTTCATCTGCATGTTTTCTACATGCTACAGTGCCAAATTCTGCAGTAACACAAAAGTCGGTGTAGTTGACAGATCAGGAGTTTAATTCCCTCCTGCTTTAACTCTGCTGAGGCCAAAGAAGGTTTAAAGCAAGAGGAACCTGGCTTGGAAAGGGAATAGATCAAAAGTCAGGCAACCCTGTAATTTACACCAACCTGGTAGGCTAAATGTGCATCCTAGCCTCTTTCTAAACAATGTCATACCCTTTTCTGCACTTTACCTCACAGAGGGATCTGACCACGCTACATCCTTTATTCTGGACTCATTCTTGAGTAACGTAACATAACATTAACATAAATCTTTTCTAATCAGTATACCTACAGACTCTAGGAAACCATTGTATAGATAAGAGGATTCTCCTAGGTTGTTAAACGTATGCTATTTACATATACTTAGAGTAAACATATAGACTCTACATACAGAGTGAACCGATATTAGGGAAGGCAAGGCTGTGGTTTTTGAGGAAAGCCACATTTACCCAGCATAATCACAGAAAGCAAAAGGAAAGGGGAACACATTGCCCAGACCTCGTGTGCACCCAGTAGAGCTCAGTGACCATGCAGATTGAGGGGTGAATGACTAACGTTTCTAGGCTATTTATTGCATCTCTAAAGGGTATGTCTACACTGCAGAGCATGGACCTCTAATACAGATCTCTGTGCCAATGCCAAATGTGCTGGGCAAAGCTAGCCACTTGGCTCCTGGTAGCACCTGGCACCACACCAGAAGTGACCCACAAGGCCAGCAAGCCAGAAGCAGGGCTAATGAGCCCAGTGCCCAGCCCAGAGCTTGTTCCGGTTCTGGAGCCAGCCCAGGAGCGGTAGCACGGGGGTCCCAGCAAGGTGCAAATGCACCCTCCGGGGCTCAAGCTCCCTGAAGGGCTAAGAGCCACTCATCTTCCAGATGCAAGTATCCACAGACTCCATACTGACCTGAGGTGAGCAAACAGTTTCCCTAAAGGACTGTGGAGAGCTATAAAGCTGTTTTTTTTCCAT